GATGTGAGAACACTTGGGTGATGAATAATGGCTTATCGTGAGGTAAGTGGAGGGAGGGTCAAAGCCAAAAACAACCGGTACCCAGATATGAGCTTTTCCTATGTCCTCCTCCCTCCCTCCCTCCCTCCTTCTGTACCGTCTCCTGCTCCATCTCCCCCATGTCGTTGCTCATGGACGCAAGCTGGATCATCGAACAAGTCTCTTTCACTATCGCCTTCCGAAGCTCGATGGAATTCTCGACGAAACACACACCCGCCACCTCATCCACCTCCACCTCCTGGCCTTCCTCGTCCATCAAATCCGCGTCCACCTCCTCCGCCTCTCCGTCGGCGGAAGGAATTTCGTTGCCCCAAAAATCGGTCGTGCTTTCCGCTTTATCTTCCGCAGGAATACCGTGGGTGGTGGTAGCGTCCAGGAGGTCTTGGAAAGATGTTCCCGACGCCCCCATCGCCGGCGGGGCTCTCACCTCCTCCTTGTCGCCTTGTTCTGACATAGTTGTTGCTTCCCCCCAATCCTGGGAAGGCGGTTCTCGGACTGGTGCTGAGGCCGGAAGCCCCGCACCAGAATTAGGCAGGGGATCTGTATGGTCAAGGACCTGCACGCCAGCGGTATTGTTACTGCCGGAGCGCTTGCTGCGGCCTCCAGCCACGAGAAATGACCCCACGACTATCAAGAGGAGGGCCACGGCCATTCCCACACTCCAACGCATCCATTGCCAGCTGCAGAGGTGGCGACATCCCCTCGGTGCCGGCGCGGTCTGTGTGAGGTAAGACGTGCGGGGGGAAGAGGCAAGGGACAAACGAGTAAGCATCTACCCTCGTCGGGAGGAAAAACCAATAGCCGGGAGGCATTTGCACAGTACGTCGTTGACCGCTGCTCGATTTTTGGATGCTCGCGTCAGGAACGCGATCGTACAGGTCCCAAAGGGTTCACGCTGGCCAATCCCAAGTGATTAATGCGGAGTATACGGGGGAAGGGACAAAGCCTTCGAATACATCTACGTCATCCTTCGCATTCATGCATGCCCGATCGACCACTGACCAATGATGGCTGTGCACTTTCCAATCTCTTACCTCTCGCCACGGCCCATGCTTCCTCAACGAATTCTCATGGTCCCTCGAGCCCCATTTTGGGGGTGAGGTGATGGACGGCTGAGATTCAAGATTTCCTATCATGGATAAGTTACATTCATGGATACCATCTGAGCTTTCCTTCGAATCGCTTGAGCCGCCTCCGGTGCTCCCTGCGAGCTGCGGCGACAGAGGTGTTGAATGACATATATCTGATCCAGAAGTACCAGCCGTTTTCCCAGCTGAAGCTACTTCGTCACTCTCTGCGAAAATTATCATAAGGAGTGTTCAATCAGTGGGTGAGAGGTACTGCCCAAATGTTGATATGTATTCGCTTATCTCTCGTCCTCTATGTCCTGGCTTCTCCCTCATCGCAGTCTCAGTCATCGTCCGTTTGACTTGCTTTCCCCTTTCTACTGTTGTTCGCATTCTCCCAAACGACATGACCTACGACCTCCACGTTATATGCGAGAAACTGAGTACTGCTGAAGTTTTTAATCGGCATTTGCCGTGTACATACCCATAGGTCACCGCTCGCCCCTCTGGGCGCGTGCTATGTGTCCTCAGCCTCTGCTCAATAAAGGTAGCCCCTGATATAGACACATATGATTCTGCTGCTCTTGGAAATGAGGCCGCGAGCCCGAAATCCTGTGGAAAATGTTGGACATGTTTCAAATTTAATTCCCGCCCAGTCCCAGTGAAAGGATAGCTGCCGGCCTGAATTCCCAGAACGAGGGGTGGGACGGAGGATCCGCCGCCGGAGAGAGCAGAGGAGGCACGCGCCGGCCCATGTGCCCCGCCATTCGTTCATAATTTTTCAGGTTTTTAAACCGCGCTTTTCGGCCCTATCTTCCGTAATTTGTGGCCCGTTTACGTTCAAATTGGACGTGATTTACGAATATGTTTGTACATTGATGGCTTGTGTGTGTGGTGTCGGTTTCATTTTCTTTCAAAACACATCCAGACTATTATAAGAAACATGATCATCGAGGGGGCATTAAGGAGGAAAACAAACGAGTTCGTAATGATACAACCCGTTATATTTTTATATGCATATGCATGGATCAACAAAGTTTTGGCAGCTCATTTAAAAAAATGATAATTTAAGTATACACCATTCCCTGGAATTGTGGGAAATTGCCGGGAGAAGAAATAAATCTCCGCGGCTCTGTTGTGAAAAGTGACTACATCAGCTAAGAGGCACTTTATCTTCGCAAATTTCCTTAAAAAACGTCGATGGGTCGATAACGAGCAATTTTTTTAGACTTCTGAAATTTTTACATGACGTCTATGCATTTGAAATCATATTTTCAAATAGGAAGACATAAACTAGACGACGCATGCTTCTCCCAAGGGTCACCAAAACAGTATTGTAGGAATAGCAGCGTTGCATACTTTCGTGCCATCTGTGCTCAATCGTTCTGAATTCCAGCATACTACCGCGAGATAAAGTTGTTCATAAACCCCTTCCTTTCTCAAAAAAGGGGTAACACAAGACGGCGGTAATATTGATTATCTTCTAGCGCGAGGATGGCTGGATCCGTCCGTGCTTTTTCTTTTTCTCTTCCAAATAATCGACACACGTCCTAACAACGATCGATGTATGCAGTTTATAGGTAGCCGGCACACTTTTATTGCACAATTAAGATGCGAAGGATCGTCGGTGCTTGCGATAGTCATGCGGTGATTCATGAATTCAGCGAATTTTAGATTAATTTCACGTCTTGTGAAGTACACCGTGTGGAGCGCGTATAGTACTTAAATTCCGAGACCGGTCGCAGCAAGGTGCAGTCACTTGGACGACGCGTTTTCAGATCAAAAATCAGCGACCCTTTTGGTTGAAGTAGATCGTTGGTAGGGAAAAGACGATGAAATAGAATAAGAGAAAAGATGTCATGTCGTGCAATAGTGTAAGGGTATGGACCCTAGAGACCTCTTTGATGAATGCACTTTAATCTTCGTTTGGCTGAATATCTGAGCATTCAGGTTAAAGTGGACACAGGCAAAATTAAAACTAGGACGTTGAGTGTGAGTATGGCACGATTGCGAGCTGCGGCGCCCCCGACTACCATTCTGACGCCATGAGCTCTTTACTGCCAAGCTATTCGAACAACATCACGCCCGTGTTATACCCAGATATTCAGTCGTACTCCTGCGTAGTGAAGGGATAGACGACGAATCCTGTCGAAGGACGTTGTATCAAACTTATTCAGGGGTACATGAAAGAGGCAACGGCAATACACCGTGAAAATCTCCAGAAAGCTAATTATTGATAATCTACATAGTCTCCAATCTTCAAGGCTTTCCTGGACAAGACGCAGTTGCCCAGCAAATGCAGGCAAAGAGCTTAAAACAACCTCCAATGCTCAAGAATTTTCACCGTTTACTTATTTTATGACGCACTCAATGATATCTTCCAAACAGATATGAAAATAATCGTTTTTGGGGCACCGCCTCGCATGTCGTCGTATATCGCATGCGGCCGCTGACTAGACAGGGGATGTGCATTTAGGCTTGCCTAAATATGGGCCGGCAGCTGACGAACAGCCTTCCACTTCAATTTGAAGCCTGTTGATACACAACACCACATGTTCCAAAAGAAAGCATTTTTTTCCCATTAATTTGTCATGGATTAGACGCACGATTGATTCTTTTTTTCGTCACACGATTGCGGCTTGTCGATACCTGACCCTTTCGAAATGCCAAACTTGCTTAAGACTTCTTTCGACCTCCCTCCTGATTTGTCCAAACCCGTCGCCCGGGCCTTGTGCCGTGTGTAACTTGACGGGACATATGATGTTTAATCAATATATATATTTGCTGTCATACCGACCATTTCTACACCTCTGCGTCTTTACAAGAAAATAAAGCTCGTACGCGAGGCGAAGTGGTCAACATTACTCGGTACTCATTGTCCTTTTTCCTAAAATTTAGTCCCGATACATCCCGTACCAGTGGTAGCGGCCCAATGAAGTGCATTACAACCGCACTAATCGTACTGCCATGTATCGTCAGTGGCTTTCTTGTTCCAGCTGTACCTAGCATCACCTTTTCGGATAGTCGTGCACCCACGCGCCTGTACGTAGGCTCAAATGCCAAAATTGATGTCCCGCCCGACCTGGAAGGAAGACTCGATCCCAAGCGGTAAGCCCATCTTCTTAATCATTTGCAGCGCTGAACCATTCAAGCTTTGCCATTTTTTAACTGTAATGCGACTGTGACTGTCTACGTCCGTGTATGTGCTGATATATGGTCTTATACCTCGATGCCCCTGGCTCGTTCCCATTATCGCAGGCACTGGGATGTCGTGATGAGTCTGAACGGCGAAACGAAGACAGTTTCCGTCAGTGAAGGCACCTCGCTTCTAGATGCCGCGGAAGAAGCCTTCGGCGACCCCCCTTGCATGTGTCGAAATGGGGTGTGTACAACCTGCGCTGCGGAAGTAACTCGAGGCGGACATGGGTCGTGGGTGGCGGCCATCGAATCCCTTTCACCAGAACAGCAAGAGAGCGGCTTTATCCTGTCTTGCCAAACATATCCGTGTGGCCCGGGACTGGAAGTTCGCCTCAACGCCCAGGAGGAAGTGTACGAGAGCCAGTACGCCAAGTATGAGAAGAAAGCTCACGAGGAATTGGAGAAAAAGAAAGGATTCAATATCTTTGCATGATAGGGCGGGCACGTCGCTCAACGACCGAGAAACCCAGGCGTCTTTCGCATGCGAAAGACTTGGCAATACATCTGAGAATGAAAACAAGGAGGAAAAGACAAGGTGTGCAATTCTTTCGGGGGGGGGAAAGAAGACACGAGCCAGACCGTCACAGATTTCGCTGACATGAAACATCCTCCAAGAGGGCGGGAAGCCCCTTCAGGAAAAAAATATCGAAGGGAAAAAAATAAAATTTTTGCAAACTCCCCTCAGAGTTCGATTAAGAGGTGCCAAATGATGTCTTTGTCATGATTTTTATGCTATAATACAGACATGGCTCCCTAATACGCTTCACCACACTGTCTTATCAACCTCTCTGCAGCACCCTCTACTACCCCCTGTCCCTGTTCATCGCATCAACTTCCTCTGTAGGTGGAGTAAGCAAAAGGATTAATCAACAACGGCACATGGTAATGTTCCTCGGGACGTTCCACTTCAAATTCGATTGTTACACTTGGGTAGAAACTCTTGGTGTTGATGGCGCGAAAGTAAACCGCCACGTCAAATGTGATTTTATAGATGCCCGGTGACAAAGTGTGGGAAGATGGTAGCAAATCTTCGACCCTTCCATCTGCATTCGTCAGCCCTTCGCCAAGCAAGGTCCATGTAGCATTTCCATTACCTATGCCATGCTCTCCTTGCTGCTCCAGACGAAGAGGCATTCCCTGCGCTGGCTTTCCCAGTGTGGTGTCAAGCACATGGGAAGTAATTGGACTGCGTTTTGGGCTCATTTTAGGGTTGCTGGTGACAGAAACAGAGGAGAGATGAGCAGCTAGAGCGGTGAGACGTGACGTCGCAGGCGTGGTCGAAGAAGCAGGCATACACTGCGTCCGTAGCCTGTCGAAAGAATGGTAGCCAATGCCACGTGTGAACAAATGCTGCAGGTGGAAGGAAAAACAATCGAAGAGGACTGTTCGAAGATTTTGGCCTATATGAATACAATGTCAGTTTGTCGATGCATGGAGCGATCGGGTTACATAGCTGGTATCAGAGGTGAGGGCTTGTTTATCACCGCCTTATGCAGCCTTGACTACAGAAATAAAGATGCGAAAGACAGAAAAACACACCAAAAGCCCACTGTCTGTCCAAATTTCCATGTAATTTCCAACAAATGCACTTTCCTTCTCCAAGACATGCGGCCAGAATTGACACAAACAATCGTTCAGCAACGCCGCAATGTCAACAACCTCCCGTACCACCACGGGAGTTGCCCCGTATGTGCTATGCTCCCGCAGCCCAGTGGTCATTACAAACATCCATATTGTCATGAAGTTATAGTTACATGTGGGGCAAGCACATACGGGAGGAGAGAAAGCGGTGATACAGGACTTCACGTTGCAATACAGACGACGGGAGGGAGTGTCAGACCGTCTACGAGTAGCTCGACGCGAAAATGATATTCACTCGCCTCAACATGTGGCGCATATGAGCTCATGACAATGGAATACATCACATTCGCCATGGTAGGAGCACATTTGGTCGGCATCCCCCATTTTCTTGCTTCGGAAAATTTCCATTTTTTAATGCACGCTGTCTGCTCTTGGCTTCTTGTTCGTTGACAGGGACAACGAGCTCGTAATCAACACCACGCTTTTCAACTCCCAGGTAGCCGCTTGTTTGAGGATAAAACCCACTTATGTGATGTGCCACAGATGTACAACGACAGAACATGACATAGTCTGGATGTTGTCTGTGATTCCCTCCTTTTGACCTGGTGTTCTTGCTAGCTACGGGTTGGGGAAAACCTCCTCTGGAGTCCAAAGCATGATGTCACATTCCCCCTTTTTATTTTACGTCCTCAATGATTTGGAGGGGGGAGGCGTCGACGACATTTTGCAACATGGTTTTAATCCTTTTCAGAGGAACTTATAGTTTATGTCCTGCATTCGAATGTTTTTCTACTTCACTTTCAAAACAGACGGGCGCCGCCGGCCTTATAATTCATTGACCCGCAGGATGGTTTCAATTAAGTTAAAAACCATACAAGGCCGCGAATTTTCGGTTGACGGTGTCGAGCTTTCCCAAACGGTACGGTCGTCGATCATAATGTAATGTAAACATACGTAGGGGGAGATAATTGTCGTATCTCGGGCCATGTCTGCCTTATTTCAGGCTTCCTGAGGCAGAACTCTCACCCGCTCAAAACCCTGCCTTCGTCCATTTTCGAAGTTATGTTCTCCTTCCCGACATCTATGAATACTTTATTCATTGGTGTCAATCATCTTTTGGAACTTCGTCGTTCTACTTTATTTCTTTATGGAAACAGATCAATGACCTGAAAGCTGCTGTGGAGGCATCCCCTCCTTCGGGAGAGGTCTTACCCGCGGATCGACTGAAGCTGATCCATCAAGGTAAGAGACATACACAGGCAAACACGGGAAAAGCAGTTGCTCGCGATTTTTGTGAGGTCGCGGACGATCATTATGAAGGTGTTTAAGCCTTGATCCCCGCTTTAAGGGCACCTGCCTGCGAATCCTCCTCATTGCACCCCACATCTTCCACACGAGTATTGCTCAGCTCCTTTCCTACACCCTAAATCCTTGCTCCGTAGGCAAAGAACTGACCCAGGGTGATTCCACCCTCTCTGCGTACAACATCGCGGACAATGACCTGGTCATCGTAATGCTCACCCGCCACAAGCCGCCAGCTCCCTCGCCATCCGCCCCTGCGCCCGCTCCTCCCCCTCCTTCCCTCCCTCCTTCCCAACCTCCTTCAAATCCGCACGTGGAACAGCTGAAAGAGATGGGCTTTCCCGAGTCGCAGGTTACGGCGGCCCTCCGGGCAGCGCAAAACGATGCCGATCTGGCTGTCGAATTTCTTTTCAGTGGGAACATTCCTTCCTCTCCTGCCCCCTTGTCGGCCTTGGAATCCGCGGTAGGAGTGGAGAGGGATGCAGAAAGGGCTGCGGAGGAAGAGGCAGGAGCCGGGACGAATGCGACGGTGGTGGCGCAGTTATTAAGTCACCCGGAGATGGAACGTGTAAGTGGGCGGGGAGCGAGAAGAAGAAGGGAAGGGAGAAGAAAGCTAGCGAGGAAGCACACAAGCTTAAGTCCATGCAACAAATGTTCTATTCCCAATCTTGGTCTCCTAGATTCGCCGCGTTGTCAGGGAAAACCCGAGCGGGATGGAGAGCATGGTTGCTGCCCTGGCCGTCACCCACCCGGACCTCGTCCGTATCATTAATGAGGACCCTGCTAGCTTTTGGGCAGCCTTGGAGGAGAATGAAGAGGGGATGGAGGAAGACGAAGGGGAAGAGGAGGAGGAGGCGGGTGTGTTGGGAGCTCTGGAGTTGTCGGAAGCAGATGAGGCTGCCATCGCGCGTTTGATGGAGATGGGCTTCGGTAGGGAACAAGTAGTGGAAGCTTATATCTTGTCCGGGAAGGAAGAAAACGCGGCGGTCAATTTGCTCTTGGGAGGATGAAGTTTTCAGGGGGGCAGGGTAGAGTGGGAGGGAGCAAGGGGAGGGTCGGGGGGGGGGCATGGTGGGCGATGAACCCAACACGGGGGAGGCAAGATCAAGGAGGTCGATGATGCAAAGAAGATTGTGCGATGCAAGTACATTAAAACTTGTTGTGATACAATATTTTATCCACACGTGCGTGGCACATCCAATGTGTGGGAGCATCTTTAAAAATGCGTCGAGGAGTGTTCGGAACCGGTATTGATGTTCTCTGGGACAAGAACCCGTACTTTCAACAGAGCACAATTTTTTGCTTGAATGTGAGGTCATTGAATGTATCGATCTGAGGTTGTTGCAAGGAAAGTCCCCAATGATTGAAGGCGGGAATGTAGCAATATTGAGCGTAGCTTTAGAGCTGAGATATATTTAGTTTGGGGTTGACTGATAAAATCCTCCATTGGAAAAATGGTAGAAATTTTAGCCGGGAGCAGCTCAATCTTGGCGTCGCTTGAGGTGGCTGCTCCCCAGCGCTCATTGTCTTTTGATTGTTGCTTTAATTTACCTTTCACCACATGAACTAGTCTCCTGAACAGTACATCATCGATAAATTTGAGCCTCTGCCTTCGTGGACGTGGTTTTAAATTTTTGTGCAATGTTTGTAAAAGGCTGTTGAACTCTGTGGTATTGGCCTTTCATTGGAACAAGTTCATGTACATGTATTCTTTCTAACACGCCTAGCGCGTTCTCAAGTTGTGACGTCACGTCTTGGTACAAGCTAGTAGCTACCCCCGAAAAGGACACGTTCCCGACACGTGTGACACGATATACCGGCACTTCCCTCCCTAATAATATGATTCAGTCACGTTCTTTCACTAGAACATCAAATTTTGTTGCATATGCTGTATTTAGTCGTTTTCCCACTTTCTGGCTGCAGAAATTTGGAAGTTGCTTTTCGCAGTGACCTGCTTACGTTCCCACTTTCTTACCGCACCCTTACTTCGCACTATTTTGCACAGTTAAAGTCCGAGATATGCCTCATAAACGGATTTTTCCTAATTTTTTATATAGTTTGCCGGTCATAGTTCTGTTCTACTTTACGGATGCTGCTGTACAACAGAATGGGACGACTTCAAGGGCGGATGCTTCTTGCAAGTCAAAGAAAGATTATGTAAATGGCACTGCACATCTTACTTTATGCCTGCAAGGCCGTAAGGTTTGGAAAGAACGTCACAATAACGCTCGTACTACACAGGTTTATGCGACCATCAGCAATACGGGTGACTCCCAAGTTTGTGATCTTCAGGTGGAAATCGATGACATGGAAAAAGCTCTGCGGTGGTGGCCGACGTGGTTTAACACGACAGTATACCCGTACTTTGCCTTCTCTCCTGAACAAACAGTATCGGTTGGGGCTGTAATTCTCAAACGGAAAGGCTTTCCCGAAATTCGTATCCGGCAAATGCGTCCATGTGATGACGAATCGCCGCCATTGAATGACGAAGATGTCGCCCTTGTCTCTCAAACCACTCCAACAACAACTGTGAACATGGGGCCAGGAACAGCCACACCAAGTAGTAACACAACACCTTCCGTGTCAGGATTAATAGTCCCCCCCACCCCTCCTTTATCAGCGTCTGACGTGCCCCCGGCGATGGATTTGCCACCTGCCCCGCTGTCACCACCCATCCCTCCTCAACCTGTAGCACCGGTCCCCCCGCCTTCCGTGCCTGAAAAACATGCCGTATACATGCAGCCACCAAAATCCTCTCGCGTAAATGGGAAAAGTCGAAATTTGGTAGAAGCTGCCTCCATTGCCGCCGACCAATTACCAGGCTCACAAGAGGTCTCCCCCTTCCAGCTTCTCCAATGGAGGCGCCTGGTGCGACAGAAGCAGAGGATGCCAAGCCCACCAACGAGATCGCAGCACCTACAACTAGCACATCTGATGTGAACCCCGTTGATACGTCGGCAGGGGCAGGAGAGGAGGACGAGGAAGGCGACGAGGACGTACCCTCCAACCTCAAAGGAAAGAAAAAATGCGAAGTGCAGACAAGCTCCCAGGGACACCGGGTACGGTGGTGCGTGGATCTCTCCCCAAAAGTATGGAGGGAGCGAAAACGAAAACGGCGGTATGTCAGGGTAGTCGGGGAAATTGCCAACCTGGAAAGGGACGTTTCCATCTGCAACATTCAACTTTGGCTCGAAGCGAATAAATCCGCCGTTTCGACCTGGCCCGAGTGGTGGCCGAACAGTAAGGATGAGGCGTTGGACCCAGGAAATTCTTATGTGGTGGGAGCCAATGTCCGGCGCAAGAAAGGCTTCCCCAAAATCAAATTGGTCTCGTTTGACGAGTGTCGGGACCTCGGCGCTCTCCCTGATGGTGCGGCCTCTACAGACGAGGTTCAATTCGACAGTGTTGAAGACCAGGAAAATAGGGACAG